TTTTTTTTTCGCATTTAACAAAACAGCTGAGCATTTTCTTATACGCTATATTTGGCAATAAATAAACCGATTGCCTTCTCATATATGTATGGAAGAATATCGAATAAAAAAAATTACTAAAGAAATATAAAAAAGTGGTAGAATACATCTACGAAAAATAATTCTCCAAAATATGTCTAACAGTGTCTTGCCCAGGGAAGCAGTTCATGTCAAAGTGAAGGCAAGCATGGCAGAGAGAAGTATTTAAAATTCTTTTATTCAAATTTATGTAATTTTTTCTTCTAGAAATGTGAGATAAATACTCCACCAGAATGGCGGAAATTTAGCGTAGATCCGCAAATCATCTCGCTGGAGGTTTTCTATTCATTGCTTGCTAAAGCATTTGATATAAAGTCTGATTTTTCCATTAAGTATAAAGCGTACAATCCAGCAGGTAATGAAATTTATCTCTCAGTGCTATCCGATTGGGATTTAGATGCGGCTTTCTTGCGTATACATAATATTTCCATTCAGACATCAACGGAGCCTTGCGTTACTTTGCAAATGGATATAAAGCCACATACGAGCGCGAAAGAATGCGATTCCAATTGTGCGACTACACCTAACACTTTAGCCAATTCTGGGAATACCGCTGCAACAGCATTGGCGGGTAGTTCAGCTGCCAGGGACTTGATGTCGCCTCTGCAGCAATCTTTGGGTGCCTCCCAGAAATATATGCAACAAATGCAAAATAAATTGCCCGGTCTCATTATGAACCAAATGGTTAAAACATTTTCCATGGTACAAAAACCTTTTAATTTGTCAGAGGAAACAACAGCTGCTATACCGCCACGTCCGCCTTTGTGTTGTTAGATGCTTTGGGTCAGATACAAATAAGTGATGAGTTGCGTAAAGTGATATTCTTTGGCGGTATTGATCCCAGTCTCAGGCGAGTGGTGTGGAAACACATTCTCAACGTATATCCAAGTGCAACGTATGAATTACATGCGTCGCAAGTCTGAATATTACTATAAACTGCGAGACACTTGGAAAGCAGGCGTTAAAAACGGTGCGTCAAAAATATTTAATTCAATAAATATTTTATATAATTTCAAACTCTCTACTAGGTTGTATGGCTATTGGCGAATTAGCTTATGTAACTAGTATGGTCAAAAAGGATGTTTTAAGAACCGATCATTTGCATCCATTCTACGCCGGCAACGACGACAACCAGAACATTGCATCGCTTTTCAATATACTTACTACATATGCGCTTAATCATCCTTCAGTAAGCTATTGTCAGGGCATGTCTGATATCGCCTCACCTTTATTAGTCACCATGAATGATGAAGCACAAGCTTACATTTGCTTTTGCGCGATAATGAGTCGTGTGAAGGGTAATTTTATGTTGAATGGAATCGCAATGACGCAGAAATTTGCTCATCTAACTGAAGCATTGAGTTACTATGACAAGGAATTTTGGGAATACCTCAAATCGCTCACGGCATTCGGAATAGCGCACTACATCCCTGAGCAGCTGAATTTCCGTCACTGCTTGCGTGACATGACGGAAGAGAAGGACAATTTTTGCGAAGAGGTGATGGGTCGGAAAGTAGCAAAGGACCCCGTAAATAACTTGACGCTTACCAGCAAGTATCTTAAGCCGGCGTTCCCGAAAGTCGACGGGGCGTTCGACCAAGCCTATGATGTGTTTTACTCAGCAATGGACCAGCACGTGGTGCGGGATGATGCACCGAATTAAGTTACTGGGATTCATACTGTTTACGCTGCTAACAGGCAAAAACATCAGGGGGTCAATTGATCGGAACGCGTCTGCATTCTAAGGTAATTACAACATTATATGAATTCACTAATAAATTACTCTCTTACGTTCTCATTTTTTAGTTTGGATTAAAAAGTTCCATCCACACACTTACATTTATGGAAAATCGTGCGAGAAAAGCAGCAAAGTAAAGATAATTGAAATGTTTAATAAATATATTAATAAATTACTTATTTACGTTCTCGTTTTTTACTTTAGATTTAAACAGCGCCGCCGTCCACCGCCTCATATAGATGAAGGTTCACTGCATGCCAAAGGTAAGTTTGCATTTACCCTTTCTTATTATTATGTAAGCTTTTATTTCATTTTAGATTAAAAAAAAAAAAACATACGCACTATCGCTTCAGCAGAATGCCAAAGGGTAAGTTTGTGATCATCTTTATATATGAATGTAGTAATTAAATTATTTTACCTTTGCAGATATCAACAACCGTTCAACACAGCACCACTGTCAAGCAGCATACTGCCGTATATTTATTTAATAATCTTATCTTATCTATATTATTTGCATTTATATTATGTATTTATATTATATTAATAAGCGGGGATTTATTTGTTATTGTAAATATTATTATAGTTTTAAGTTTACAATGGTGTAAGCCTAAAGGGGAGCCAGCTATTTAAAACAATTGGCAACGCGCCTATCACGGCACCTCAAGGGTGGTGTGGAAAACCGTGTCAGGAAGCCGTGCTGACCATCTAGCAGCTGGCAGTGTGAATGTCACAAATGAAATTCAAACTTTATGAGCGGCAACACCCCAAGAACATCGTTACTGCCCACTATGCGCCAACAACAACGTACTTTTTGCATACGACGCCCTTGCGTACATTATCAACTAGAACTTGTTACTCTGTCCGATATGCTCATCATTACACATTGTTCCTTCTAATTTATTTCCATCGAAGACTTCTGCTTTAGGCATCTATCAGATTTTTGCAACTGCACCGACAGATTGTGCTTATTACCAAATTACGTTAAACTAAAAGACGTGGATTAGATAGCATATATTTTTATTTTATTTTTTTATTTATTTATTTTTTTTTGAATACAAACAAAATTTTATAAATATTTATCAGAAACGATAACAGAAAAGCCATATTTAGAGAACACTTATGATTTTAACACTGCCCTGTCGCCATTAAGATTAATTATTTGGAAATTATTCTGTCTATGGAGATATTAATCTCGTCTATTCTTTC